AAGGAAACAAAAAGGAAGAAAGAAAATAAAAAGAGAGGTAATGTCAGATAAGCTATAGACAGGGACTGGGTTTTCTTATTTCTTAAGCATAATCTTGTTTTCACTTTTCTTTCTTTGGTTGCCCACTTGATCTACGGGTTTTGTAAAACCATGGGAGTTTAGTGGCAGACAGACTGATTTATGACATGGGAAGAAATGAAAAACGTTATTATCTTTTTCTATTATTTAATTAGCATTTAAGTCCAAGCAGTGGACAAATTTAAAAGCATTGGTAAGCGTCCAACATTGGTGTGAATGTTCTTCTGAATCAGGTGGCAAAGGGCATGTTTTACTTGCAATTTACAATGATTGTGCCAAACTGTTTAAAGGCCAGAAAGAGGAAATCACAGACTAAACTATTTTAATTAAATGATTTAAGAGGAGACGAGGCAAAACCATTTAACTCACCAATTCCCCGTTTCCTGTTAGAAACTATCTTATCAATGGCCCGATTTTAGACAAGCGTAACAGGAAAATGATAAGGGCATCAGGACGGTAAAGACAATACAAGCAAAGATGCCGTTTGCAGAGACTTACAACAACTACTGCTATCACGTTACGTGAGCATTTCAGATCAATCCAGCAAGGTGCACAGCACTACAGTCAAATTATTTCATTTTATTAGACCAGATTTTAAACAATGCTATAGTGTAATTATTCAACTCCAAGCTTTGCCTATTCAGGGCCCATGAGGTCGGGCTTCCTTTTTCATTTTTCGATTAATTAATTTTTAATCACCATTTTACAAACATGAATTTCATAATTATTGGTGAATACTATACACATGCATAATAATTAAAGATATATTAACAGTAGTAAATAAAATAATGACAGAGCAGTGAGAAGGGTGCTTAATCTGATTACCATAATGCCAAAACTTGGACTTCCAACAATCAGCAGTACCACAGCAGCTGTTTTATTTTGCCATTAGGATCAATAACGCTATTAATGTTCATAATTATAGTCAATCTGTTGGTTACATAAGCTGAATATTGTTAATCTGGAAACACAGTTGGAAACTGTAAGATAACAAATATATTGAAAAGGAAGTTGAAGTTGCGTGCTCCCTAAATAATCCTCTCGAAACTACAAGGAAATATAATTGTTAGCAGGATAGTGGAGTCAATGCTGAGTGCCAATAACTGGGTACTACTTTCCCACCACAAACATTTTACGAGTCCAGGGATCAATAAATTGATAGAAAATAAAATATGTAGCACTACCATGTCCTGCTTTAAACTAGAAGGGAAGGCCTAAAGGGTCATGGAGAAATAAAATGACAACTTTTCGAACTTGGACCAAGCATTTTGTGTCATCTCTCCACACATTACGTGGAAGGCCCAATTCTGCAATTGTTGATTTTATATTATTGTAGAACTCCGCCAAGCTAAAAGGATGGACTTTGGGCGAACCAGGAGGTAAGAGGACCATATTAACTGTATACAACTATAAAAAATATTAACTACAGTATCAATTAGTGTGGGATGCTTTCGAGCTTTACATAGTTCCCAAACAAGCCCACATCCTGTGGATGGTTGAGATTCGATCATTGTACAATCGCAATGAAAATAGAATTTGTGGGTGATATGAATCCCCCAGGTGACATGTCAACACATTTTCTGAACCATTCGTGTGAACTCACGAAAATGGCAACAAACAACCCAGATTCATTTGAGCAGATTAAATGAAAGCAGGGATCAAAAGGAAAAAAAGAAAAAAAAGAATAAAGGACGAAAGCCTAGGAGTGAATGGAGGAGAAGAAAACAATGAAGAACAGCAAGAAAAGCTCCATCTCATCATGGAAACAACTGCCATTTTTCTCCAGGCATGTTAGAATTCTAATCAAGTTTGTGTTAACAATTTGTATCCATTTCTACGCAACAAAGAGAGAACCAATGATTTATGTGATTCTATTTTCAAGTGTTACTATAAATATTTTCAAAATAAAAAGGTTATGTCACATAGTATAATTATTGAATTAAATGTGAGTTTTTCATGTGAATACTTATCTGGAAAAATGACATATTAAGAAAACACCTATAAATTTAAAAGTTATGAGATAATTGAAAAATACCATACTTAAAAATTTGGATACCAAAAGTTATCTTTTCAAATTGTGGTTTAAAAATTATGTCTTATGGAATAAATGGATATTATTTCATAAGGTAATTATTAAATAATACATTTATTTCTAGATCGTGTCTTACAAAATGTAAAGGTATTTTTAAGATAAAAAGGTGCTTTGATGAAACGATTGTGTCATTGAGAAAAGACACATGCAAGCCTATATAAAGAACTTGTTGCCAACAATTTTAATATACCAAAAAACAAATAAGATAAGAGTAAAAATATCAAAAGTAATAAAAGTGTGAGTTCCTATCATCTATAAAGTGAATTCAATTTCCTTATAGTCTACTTGTTGCGAAAAGTAGACTTTAAGACCAAATAACTTTGAAAACTCTTGGGCATATCTAGCATTCTATTTTCAAAAAGCATAAAGTCGAATTTAGATATTGGCTTCATTGTATCCTTAAGACTATTCGCATAATTTTCCTTTTGCATATTGAATGGTGAGGGCGAAATAAGTCTTACAGATAACATTTATTAAATGGCTTGTCTTGCAATCCATTTTGTCGGTTTCTTGAATTCCATCTAAACCCCATTTGCACTAACAATTTTAAGCTTATTTTTCGTGGTGTCAAAATTTGAAATGACTTCACTAAAAGAGAAGGCTACAAACATTGTCAAGTTAGATAGCTTTGAAGGAAAAAACTTTATTCATTGGCCAATGTTACATTAATTTGATGTTGACAAAGAAAAATCTATGGATTAGATTTGTGTGTGGCAAAATGGTTCTACATCGGATTATAAGATAAGTTTTCTTTCCTAACTTGATATGAATGATATTGTATGTAATATGCATAGTAAACGCATATTGGTTGGAAAGAAGGGCTTTGTTATATTCATATATGATCTTGATTTAAATAAAGTTATTATGGTGTCTTCTATAATTGACATAATTCTCCCATCATTGAGAGACATAAGGAAACTCTAAAGCATAAGAAAGAGAAGATGTCTCTCAAGGATCTTGGTAATCATCCTTAAATAAAAGATGATGGTTGTAGTCAATATGAAGTCACAAACAAGATGAAAAGGATAAGGACCATAAAGTAAATCATCTTGAGTTGATGAAAGTCCATGTGATGGAAGACACAAGGCATGGGTATGTGGCATTTCTATTATACAATAAGGTTGTGCGAATTAAAAATGACTTTCAAATTTGAATGTTCATCTTATTTACATTAAAATTTAAAATACATAAGCAATTAAAGAGTTCAATGTTGATAAGACTTTTTAAAAAGGTTGTGCGAACAATTCTGCCTTTTGGTGTGGAAAATTGTTGGGCCAATAGACTGGCTAGCATGAGCTCTTGGCTTATCTAGGTTGCTAGCCTAATTGGGTTATGACATTTTCCCCCGCTCAATCCAATAACGCCTCATTGTTGGAAGATGGTCACCTCTATGCTATGTATTGTTACTTCATGTGCCGTCTTCTCACATGCCTTTGCCTTGAGCAATCTCGTTTGTGCGTATTCACCTTGGGCTTTTTTTCCTTATGTGTTTCCTTTGCGAGCTTCTACCTCATGAACCC